GTTTTTTTTTTTTTTTTTTTGTTTGGTTTTTTGTTTGGTTTTTTTGTTTGTTTGTTTTGTTTGGTTTTTTTTTTTAAACTGAGGTTTGTATGGTGATTGCATTGCAAATAAGAGCTATGAAAGTAATATGGTAGGTGGTAATATGACTATACAAAGGTTTCCCTGACATGACTTAGATTTTACCAAAAGAATGAAGAAGTAATTAAATGTTAAACTGAAAGCCAGCTCAAATAAATTAAAGTAAAATGTATATTATAGATTAAAAAATCTCATTTAAACTCTATAATAAATGGACAAAATGAGCTTTAAAATCTTGGTGGAGTCTGGTAGCTTTACTGATATATTTTATAGATTGTGCCTATTATGTATGCACTGAAAATTTTTACTTGGACAGCTCTTTACATCACAATGATCTTAGAAGCAGCTAAATAAAATTTGTGGTGCAATTCTTAGACCAAATTAAAGTAGAAGCAGACTATAGGAAAAGGTACGTTTATTCTTCAAAGGCTTTGTTTTTAATAACTTTAGTTATTTTACAAATGAATTACACTGGAAGTGTCATCATACTTCCTTATTCTTTTCTAGCATCCCAATGTGTTTACTGGTTAATGAACATCTCAGCCTGCGAGCCAGAAAGTTTCCAGAAGTCAAGTTTCTCAAAGCCATTGTAAACAGCTGCATTCAGAATTACTATGACAGATATTTACGCACAATACTTGTATATAAAACTGGTGAAATAAAAGGCGGGTTCATTGGAGCAGCTGAATGTGGGGGAATATATCTTAAAGTAGAAGGTATGAGAAATATTTTAAAATAATTCACGTTATAGAAAATTTTATGTTGTTTGTAATCATTAGAGCTAAAGAAAGACCACTGCTTAAAGGTGAAAAAGGGTTTTGAATATTTTTGTAGAAAAAAGTCTACAAAAAGCAAACAATTTATGTAATTCTGTGGCAAGAATATTGGATAAGCATGGATATTTTGCAATTTCATGGTCAGATATTTTACTGAGATAAAGTTGGGTTGCCACAAGGATGGCTCTGGTTTTGGTTGTTGTTGAGGCAGAGCTTGATCTTTTTAATAAAAGTCCTTTTCCTCTTAAGTGAGAATTTATTGCAATTATGAGAATAAATTGTCATTTGTTTCTACAGAGCTTGAATGGAAACTAGCAGAAGTTGGAGCAATAGAAACCGACTTAGAAGAAAACCCCCAAAAGGACATTATGAATATGGTGAAACTGTCAGTGAGAAATATTTCTGCTCATGAAGACACCAGTACAAAAAGCAGTGATGTGAGGAAACCACCTATTACTTGAAAAAATTTTAATGCAGATCATCTGTTCTGACATAAATTAGCTCAAATACAGTTTTTTACTCCTTTGGTAAGCCTGAAACAACAAAAAAAACACTAAAACCAAAAAGAGCTTTTGTTTCTCTTGTATATTTTTTTTTGTTTTGATTTGTGGGAGAAAATTGATGTAGTAGATCAAAGCCATATTTCCCTTTGGATACAATGAGATGGCTGTCATTGACACCAAGAGTCTGGATTCTCCTTTTCATACAAGCTCTGCTTAAATGGAATGGGAAGCGGGGGGGAGGGTATTAGCTGGTGGGCTCCGATCTATACTTTCTTCCTCCTTTTATCCAGCATGGGTGCAAGATTCTCCTTTAATTCCCAGTGAAACAACTATAGTGGAACTCTGCTCTGCTAAGGACCTTCTCAGTTCCCCCCCACTGAAAAGCTGACCCAAAGACAATGATGTCCATAGCAATATAAAATCAGGATTTGGCCCTGAATCCATCAACTAACAGTTCTGTTTGTTTGACAGGAGTTCAAGAATCTTCTCCAGTGTCAAGGACAGTTTTCCTACAATTTTATAATACTGACGGTTGGATCAGTTGTTCCTTCCTAACAAAAATAAGTATATCCTTTACAAAACAGTTTACAGTACAACTGCAGATAAGCAAAACTACATGAGTGAATGAAGAGACCATGCTCCCGATTCAGCATTTTTATTTATTATGAGTAGTGAATAAAATTGTATAGTACTAGTGTTATTTTTCCAGTGACTGATCATAAAAAAAAAAATCTCAATGTGCTAATGAAGATTTAGTTATACGCAGCTGACATGGTTTATAGCATCAGGATGCAGAAAGACAAATGAAACAGAAAACGTTCACTTAATGCTTGGCACATAGATATGTAAAAACAAGAAAATTAACATTAGCCATTTTTTTTTTTCACCCGGTAGGACACAGCTACGCTATCCGTAGATACCTACTGGCAGATAGCACTTCTAGAAACTTCTGTTTTGCAGATTCAGAGAGATAACTAGTAGATGCATTTCAGAGATAATGGCTTATCTACCATTATCTGCCACTTCAAACTAGAAAGCTAACTAGTAGTTTTAAATGTAAATAGGTCATCGGTGACTTTAGATACGATTCCACAGTTACGTCAAGCGAATATCAGTCTTGGCTGCTTCCTCTTAGTGGTGAGCCTCCCTCCTGCTACTGCGGCTGCCGTGAGGTACACAAGCACAACACACAACTGTACAAGTGCTAGTGTTGTCACGTTGGAAGTAATAGGAGTATGTCGCTAGGTATGACGGGAAAGCACCAAACCTCCCCTTTGGTGACCCTTACTTATGTCCAAGTGAAGTGACCGTGCAATCATTACAGCCATCGGATGTGACAAAGCAGCAGCAAAATCCAAGGGAATTTGGAGGTTAAAAGCAGGTGTTTCTGGTTCTTGGTCAGTTACACCCTTTGTAGGAACAGGGTCTAGAAATAAATGTTAGTCAACCTTGCTTTACAAGGATTATGTAGATTGTGACAAGCTTTCAAGTCAGCATCCTTATTAAATCCACTGATTTTAGTATTTTGGAGTGATGTGAAATTCAAAATCAGCTTCCTCAAAGAGATCCTCTTTTGAATACGCCAGTGAGGATCAAAAAGGCACAGTCTGAGTGGATGACTGTTCTATGGCTCTGAAATATATCATGCACGAGATGGCGATGACAGTTCTGTAGGAAACGTGGCTAGAGTTAACGGAAGCGCACTGGAAATTTCTGCATTTCTGGCCCAATCTAGTCCCATCATTCAGTGATTCACAAATGATTTGCTGCTTATAAATTGGCAATGTCTGAAAATTATGTTGGCTCTCATGTAACCTTTGTGACTGAAACAAAACTATCATTACACACCAGAGCAAACTCACACTGACGGTAAGAGCCAGAAAAATAGTATTTCTAGGTGGAGAACAGTTTTATAAAACCACTGCACCATTTCTAAGCTTTCTGTCCTGTTCCTTCAGGAGCCTTTAAAATACTTTCAAAAGAGAAGAAGCATTAAAAAAATGACCTTGGTTAGGCCGTAACTTCGGCAGAAAATGCAAATGTGCGTCACCTCCACAGCTTTGTTGCCTGCTTTGACCTTGTCAAATCCCAAAACGTAAGATGTGCAAGCCACAAACAGTAATTTGCTACTGCAACATTGCAGTAGGTAGCCCTTACGCTCCCACACGTGCAAGGTGTGAAGAGAGTCAGAGCAGTATCTCTACTTTGTTTTTCTGAAGAATTACTACTGGTTACTAAATATCTTGTGGCAAATTTGATACATACAGTATGATGCTATTTTTAGCCTCCTGGTTTCTTGGCCATATTCTAGTTCTGTAAATTACGCATTTTTGTTGAAAATATTCCCGCATTTTCTCCTGGATTTTCCAT